CTTTTTTTTCAAATTTTTGTTTTTTTTTTTTTTTTTTTTTTTTTTTTTTTTTTTTGTAAACAGGTCTTATTTCAATGGACCAGTACAGGATAGAGCATTTGCAGGCTACACTGCAAATTATTAATGCTGTGTTTTCATCTTTATTGTGAATACAGCTTCCATTACCTAACTCTTTCCACTCCAGTGCAAGATCCTGTTTTTTCTACCAATTATGACTTCATTATAATAGTTGCTATTTACTATAATAGAAGTAGCTGTTTTGTATTTGTCATGGTGAAGCAATCGGAGAAATGAAGTCAGTATTCACCCAATAGAATTGAGCATAGAAAATGAATTATTTAATTGCAAATAACAATTATCAAATCTAAATAAACTTTTAACTTTATTGATCTATATATGTTAACGTACAAAGCTATTACGTGCTTAACTACTGAATGCTTCCTGACCAAGAAAGATGTATATGTTGTTCAGTACTGCTGTATGTTACGTTTTCGAATGAAGCACTTCAAAGATGAAAGTTCTTTGAGTGAAACTTGAGCTGTTGATCTTTACGTAGACCATACGACCACAAGCTGCCCTTCCCTTTCCCCCAGCACAATCATATGGCTTAAGAAGTTTTAGCCCCACAAAGATTTTTCAATTCTGCTGTCATTATTTTGGAAGAGGAAGTTAGGACACTGGCCTTACTTGGCACCTGCTGCAAAAATGACAGGTAAGGAGTCTTACAAGAGGGAATGGGGAGCATTGCATAAAGTTGTATAAAGCAGCATTGCTAGTGCTTATTTTGGAAGTAAATGCTCTTTACATCAGTCTTATGATTCCTTAGTAACACAGTTTTTATGCATTAAAGGGAAAGCTGGGTTATGCACAATCCCGGAAGTTTCAAGGGAAACTACCATTTCTTTTTCCCAGTTTTTGGAAGTTCAAAAATATCCTCAAACTGCTGAGGTAATCACATCTCAACTGTATGCAGGTATTCTTCTGTAATACAAAGTCCGTGGTGATTTTTCAGTAGTGTTAAAAATACGTGAAAACCATCTCATAGGCTTTGCCTATTCACATCTTTTGCTGCTTTAAAAACTTTTAATTATTTCTAAACTAAAATTGATAGTAAAACTATCAATTTTATGTCTCTAAATTTTTCTTAGTGGTGCTCTCATCTCGAACTGCATAGTTGTAAACTTGTTTGCGCAGTGCATAGCACAGTAATATCCTGCCTTTTGACTCTGTGTTAGTAGGACTAGAGTAATACAGACACTACTTGGATTTGTGCTAGCTGTGCTGATTCAACTATGCGTAATTTTCAGCAGACTCTGTTAAATTTGTTCCAGGTTGTGTGTGTGTAAACACAGGCTATAAATGTCTGATTAGATGAACTCTGTGTAAAGTTTCTGGAAAGTGACTTAAACAGGCTTATGAAATGCTGACTGTGACTTTAATGCTGGGTGATACAATGGTTTTGGATCCTTTTGATCTGTCAGATTTCTTTTTTTTTCTTTTTTTTTTCTTTTTTTTTTTTTTAGTTAACTAGTTAAGTCCCATGCATTTGTCACTGTTTCTAGGTGAAAGATGATGAGGTTTAGGGGTTTTCCCTTGCTGCTTCAGCAAATTACTTCATAGCTGTTCATGATAAGGTAAAATACCATAAAATACTCATGAACTTAGCAACTGTGTAAAACGGTATGTGACTTCTGAATGGAGAAAACTGTATTATTACTTTGATTTTGTTTTCAGACCTCTCGGTATGAACGCAGTCATTGAGAGTAGAAATCTGAACATCAGAAGGAACCTTCTGCTGTATTAATGCCAACAGATAACAAAATGGATAATTATGGAAATCACTTGCTTATTAGCTGGCTATTCTGGCTCTCAATTTGACAGGGGGTGTTAGTGAGCGATATAGAGAGTGGGCCAGTAATCCAAATGTGTGACTGAGTTGCTGTTTCATGTAAGAGTATTTTATTGAATATGTATGACTACAACCTCATAATTATTGCATTATACACAAATTTACAATTTTGTTAATTTCATTCCGTTGTGGAATAGAAATCTGGGTGGTAGTTGAGAACTTGGTTCCTTTCTGTTGATCACATCCAAAGCTCTTGGAAATCATCGAGAGTCCTTAATTTCTGCTAAGAAAAAAATTGAACTTCCTTTCATATTAAATGCACAATCTTACATCTAAGAAAGCAATGACCCACCCCCAGTCTACTTTCATGACGTTTACAATGTACTTATCAATTTCAGTGTCTTCAAATTTGTGTCTGTCTTAAGCTGCATACATAGGTGCAATCCTTGCAGTTTCTCTTCAGATATTTTCAAACATATGCATCATCCCCCAAATAGTTAAGAAATAATTCAACTTCTGTATGAGTGAAGTCTTGTATTACAGGCAAAATAGAAGAAATGTGTCCCTTGAACATAATATTGTCACTGGTACTTTTTTGTTGTCTAGTCAGCACTAACTGCCCCTATTTCTTATTTTTGGAGATCTGATTACTATGTTCACATTCCTCATTCTGTTCAAGGTGCTTACTTCAGATATGTTATCGCTTGTAAACTGAAAAACATAAAATAGATGTAAAAATTTTTAGTCTTTTTCAAGGAAAATGAATGCCTTGTTGGCTAAGTTCCTGTTGTCCTTTGTTTCTAGGACCTTAATTTTGCTTTGTGAGCCTAATTTTGGTAGTGTTTATTTTTTTCCTCAGATGTTTGTGTGTACATATCCTTCAAGGAAAATTTTGTAAACATAGGATTGGAAAATAGTATTTTGGAGTTCTTCTCCTGTGATTGCTGGCAGCCACGCAATGATGTCCACTTGATACTTGATCGCTTAATCTCTGATGGTTTTATTGTTGCTAATGTACACTTTTGGCTTCAGCAGGGTCTACTTGTGATTAAGGTGAGCAAGGTTCAGCCAGACTTGAGTAAAGACTAAGAGAAAAAGGAAGAGGACTTTGATCCTCTCCTCCAAAAAGATTGTTTGACCATTTAAAAATGTTTAGCACTGTATCTTCTGTTAGTACTTTGATGGTCACCGTTGTTATCTGTTACCTTTTAATAGGAAGTCCTGAACAAATGCAGATAGGAACACAGCTCTGCAGATCATCTGTCTTGGGGGTTCCCTTTGTTAACCTCTGGTAAATGACCACAAGGGATTGTGTGTTATCCTGAGAGCAACTCGGAACTGGAATTCGTCCTTTCTATGTGACGGATAGTGGGCATGCTACTCGCAAAGTGATACGTATTCCTGCT